CCCTACAAGCAAGATGCACCCTCAGTGCACGCATGCACTCACATGTGCACATGATTACAAACAACCTCCCTCTTCAATCCAGCGGCTGCTTCACACCTTTTGATGCCTGAACATGTAGAGAAAATGCAGACCCAGGAAAGTCATTCCAAGAACATGCAAGGATGTTAGCATTTGCCAATGTCAGAATTGCTAGTCCTTCTGATGTCTTTTTTCTTTTCACTGGGGATTCATTAGAAATTTGTAGCTGAGGCAGGAATGAGGGTCAGAGAGCAGTGCACTCCACTGCACTTCAAAAGCCATTTTGCAAAAATCAAAGGAAGCATTCTCTCCACAGCAGATGTGTCTACATGAGAGGCTAACTCAGGGGTGGGCAATTATTTTGGGAGGAGGGCCACTTACTGGGTTTTGGCAAACCGTTGAGGGCCGCATGACAGGCAGCCCAGGGCAGATTAATATTAATTTTCTAAATTTTTTAGGGGCCCCGCGGGCCAGATAGAATGGCCTGGCAGGCCACATCTGGCCCATGGGCCACATTTGGCCCACCCCTGAGCTAACTGCTCAGTAGCCTAATTCTACTGCACAGAAGCATGCAGGGCAAAAACCATACTAATACACTACTGCACAGTTAGCATCACTAAAAAGCCATGCGCTGGTGCTACTGTGCAGTAGCGCCAGTTACTGCATGTTGATTTAGTACTTGGTTATACAAGTACTAAACAATGCCCAGTAACTACAGAGCATTAATGAACGTGGAGATGCACCCAATGAGTGACTCTACACAAGATGTTTACTGCAGAGTTACCTAATTAGATCTTAAGTAAACGTCTGGACATCTACACATATGGCCCTGTTAGGTTGCAGGAAATTAATAAACTCCACAGCAGGTCAGTACTTTTAAATACAAGTATTACCCTGATGCAGAGGTTTTTTCATGTGTAGCAGCACATGTATAGACGCTGAGCTGGCTGGCTGGGGCATGAAGGTGCTTCAATGTGGGGGCTGCCTGCTGACTAGCCTGATACTGAAGCATCCTTGTGTGGCAGCCAGCCCCTCCACAGCATGTTGAGCTGGTGGGGAGCTGCCCCGGGGTTGGCAAGCTGATCCCTGGGGGCCCCTGTCAGCCAGGGCTGCTATGACCCAGCTCAAGATGGGGCAGTCCTGGGCACATGTTCAAACAGTGTTCCCAGGAGCCATAAGCTCAGATATGATACGTACTGGAGTTTGTTGCTATGCATTAATAGCACACCTAGACATGCCCTGTATGATTTAGAAGCTTAATACTTGTATGCAAAATATAGTCTTGAAATGCCACCTGCTGGCCACTGTGGAGTGCTACAGGAAAAGGGAAATGTGCCCATGTCATCATGACTCGTGATATCTGTACCCATTATTTATAAGCAGGGATCCAGGTTTTCTGTTTCCCATGGAAAAATGTGGAAAAACATGGATTTTTCCCTTTAAAATGGGAAAAACCTAGATTTTCCCCTTTGAAGTGGGAAACCACAGGTTCCAGTCTGCAAGGGGCTGCTTGGGACTCGGGAGAAGTGGAGGGGAAGGCAGTTGGAGACAGGGGGTGCCACATGCATGTGCACACACATTGCCATGCAGAATAGTGGCCATCCATACAGCCCCAGCAGCTGCATACAGGTAAATCTCTGGGATGGAGGGGGAGGGTTGGAGCGCCAAAGCTTGGGGACCGTAGGGCGGCATGTACTCCCTGAAATTTCTGCATGAACCCAAAGTGGTAGGGCAGAGCAGGGCCCCTTAGGGGTGGGCAGCAGGGTGGGGAGTCCCAAGCCCTGCAGTGGGGGAGCCTGCATCCTCCCCTCACTCCTGCCTCGCACTGGCTCCACCCCAGCCCCCATGGGCTCTGCTCAGGTCCACTTGTCTTGCTGCCTGGGGGTGGAGGGGGAATGGAGGGGGATGGACTCCATGCTCCTCCCTCCACTCTAGCAGCAGTACCGGCTGCCTCGTGTGTGCAGCAGCCAGGTCTCAGGCATTGCTGTCCAGCTGTGGGAGGTGCCCTTGGAGCAGGGAGTGGGCAGCATACAGCTGCTAGTCCCATAGCCCTGGCAGCTGGGGGCCAACTCTGGCAGAGCTGGTTGTGGCGGGGAGCAAGGGGCTGTGGTTTGGGAGTGAAGGCCATGGGCAGGGCCAGGGAGCTACAGGTGGTAAGTGAGGGGTACTGACATGGCCATGGTGGGGCTCAGGACTGTGGGTCAGGAATGAGGGGCACCAGCACAGCTGAGAGGGCTGAAGGTTGAGAGTGAGGGGCAATGGCATGGGCAGGGACAGGTCACTGGCATATTAGGGCTGCTCAGTACCACAAAGCAGCAGGGTGGACAGCTGCAGCTGGACCTGCATCCTGGTGAGCAAAAGGGGCAAGGGGAGTTCTGGTTTTCCATAAAGAGGAGCGGGCCCAATGCATGGTAAAAAACAAAACAAAATCAACACACCAATAGATGTAGGTATTTATAATTTATTTTATTATAATGATAGAGGTACCAGTAGGCTTCCAAACTGTTTTAAAACTGTAAATATATCAATAAAATATTATGTACAACTGATACCTATATATAGTGGCACTTCATTTTAATCATGGAAAAATGCGGATATTGAGTTTTTTAATCATAAAAACATTCAAAATTCTCTCTGAGAATTTTGGATTTTTTAACAAAGAAAACTAGGATCCATGTCATAAGCCTTGGAAATAGCCTGATGTTTAAAGTAAAGAGAGATGTTAGTGATTCAGAGCAATTCATTCATCCAGAGAGGTTCTGAATGAGTATTGTTACCACTCTGTTTTTTCTCAGTCATTGCATATGATGGGCAGTTGTTATTAGGGAAAAGTTTGTTAATGCGAAGATAATGCTAGGGTGTAAGAAACACTAATTTCCACTGAATCTGTGAGAATCTGGATGCATGTTTTTGCCAAGACTGGGAACCAGTGTTTTAGCTAAAGAGTTTTGCAAGCTGTTATTAGGTATTCTGATATCTTGTGGGTACATCTACACATGCAACTAACACACAGAAAGCTTACTGCAGAGTAAGACACTGTACTGTAAGCTTTGCCTGAGTGCACATCTACACGTGCCCATTGGGAGCAAATTTGCTCCCAACAGGACCAGTTCAGGGCAGGGGTATTCCTGCCCTTCTCTGCTACAATATGGCAACCAGAGGGAGCTCTAGGCTCCCCCCTCTCCACCCCATCCTGTGCCAGCCCTGTGCTAGCAGGGGCACCAGGGTCAGACCTGGGCTCCAGGGGGTGAGGGGAACTGTCCTGCCTCCAGGGCAGCTGCCTGCCACCCTGCACCTCTGCCCCAGCCAGCTGCCTGCTGCCCACCCCCTGCTCTGATCTTGGAGTGAGGGCTGATCTTGGAATGAGTACAACATTCCCAGCCTCCGCCCTAGGAAGCTTCTGGCCCCAGCTCCAAGATCAGACCTGGGGTTGGAACACTGTCCCCTACCCCAGCCAGGTGCCTGCTATGAGGGGCCAGCTCTGATCTCGGAGCTGGGGCAGGGACAATGTCCCCTGCCCCTGCAGCAGGTAGCTCCTGGCCCCAGCTCTGAGATCAGAGCCGCCCCCCCACTGCAGGTACCTGGCAGAGGCAGGGGACAGCTGGGAAGCAGGCAGCTGCCCAGGGGAGAGGAAAGTTCTCCCACCCCCGATGCCTGGGCTGACCAGGAGCAATTTGAACCCAGTCAGCTATGTAATCGTGCATTATTGCGCATTAGCTAATGCTCAGTAAATCTACTACCTGTATTTACAGGTAGTAGAAAACCGTATATTAGCCTTTTTTTAATGAGCAGTAGCTGCTGCGCATGGTTACATAGTGACACTTTACTGTTCAGTAGTCTACTGTGTAGTAAAATGTCTCATATAGACATACCCAGTGTTGTTTTATTTTCCCCCTATCTGTTTGACTCAGTCTTTGGTCAGCACATCTAGTCCCTATGAGTGAGAACAGGAAAGAGAATAGAAAAGGAGAATCTTACTTACTTCCTCATTCCTTTTCCACAACTCCAGACATGCTTCTTCCTTTTCACTTTGTTTCATTTATAGGTTTTTTTCTGCTCTTCTGTGCTTTCTATCATATTATTGAGGAATATTTCACAGGGAATTAGACAATTACCAGTTAAACCCACTGGTTGTGAAAAAGAAATAGCTCAGCAGCACAGTAGGAGGTAAGAGAATAGCATCAATAGACAAGATGTGGATTGGGGCCTACTACTGTTTGTACTATAACAAACAATGAAAGAATCAGGAGTGATGATAATTTTATTGCATTTTTATCACTAAGGGCAACTGGGAAAACACTACATTTTTACATAGCACTTTTTAAGAGTACTTCACATCCACCATCTGCACCATAGGCAGCCAAGCTTTCCATCCAGTATGTACCTCTTTCTGAAACCATACACCAATCCAGTCTAATGTTCCATCCAGTACAGAGCAATTATGGGAGTAGAGGCATACATAAACACAACAAGAGAATATCACTAATCGGTATTACTATTTTATTTTGCAGGACTCTTATCAGCCCAAATTTGAGAAGATTAAGTATGGTGCCTGGTACCTTAACCCCAAAACATGGAAAAAACAGAAAGCGAATGAACCTTTAATGGATCCAAAAGCAACCATTGATAACTTTCAACAGTTAAGGAAGCAGTTTTGTGAAAAGGTATTGGAAGCACCCATGGAACGTGTGGTATAATTCTCTGCTGAGTTAAAAACGTAGAGCACACGTTGTTACTAGATCTTGCTTGCACTTTGTATGCTCTCTAGCAGGCACAGTGCAAGCTGGAGTGATCAAGTGAATACTTGACTGACTGTAATATTTAGTATTTATTATTTATACTATCCAATTGCCCATCAAGAATGACCGGGGGCTGGAGAGGCAAGGGCAGGGATGGAGCCCCATGCCTGCCCCCTGTACAGGCCTGCTTCCCACTTCCCTCCTGCTGCTTGGGGTCTGGGCCCATTCCCTCCCCCTGCCGCTGCGGTGGGGAGGTGGGGGGAGGAGTGGGCCAAGGCCCGATACAGGGGAAGCTGACCCAGTGGCTGCAGGGGACGGGAGGAGCGGGCTTGGGGCTGGTGCAGAGGAGTGGGCCTGGGCCCAAGGGGGGGAAGAGGCCCGCTCCTCCCCTCCCCTCCCCCAGCTGCTGCTGGTACGTCGAGCCACGTCGGGCTGGGCCCACTTCTTCCCCCTCCCCCCCATGTCAGGCCTGGGCCCACTCCTCCCCTTCCTCCACTGCTGCCGCCACGGCATGTCCATACCTTGCCCCGTGTTCGGCCCGCTCCTCCCCACCACCACCGCCAGGTCAGCCCTGTGGGCAGTGATGACAGAAGGGGGAGGGGCAGACCGAGGCCAGCACCGGTGGCCTCGCCACACCTGTGGCGTCCTGACCCCGCTCCCTCCCCTGCACCGCTGCCGCTGCCACCTCCAAAGAGCGTGGGTGGGGGGAGGCGAGGCCAGCTCTGGTGGCCTCCCCCCCGGCTCTATTGTCGCCACCTGCAGGGAGCAGGGCAGGGAGGCAAGGCCAGCATGGCTGCTCCATCCCCTGTGTCTCTGCCATCGTGATGGCCCATCCAAAACACTTCTTCACACTCTGCTTGTCTGTTTGTCAGCCAATCAGAGTGCAAATAAAGCATTATGGACAGACAGACGGATTCAGACTTTTATAATATTAGAATTTTGTGACACCCAGTGAATACAGTCCCGACTCCAGCAAGATAAGCACTGCACTGTACAAATTCAAAACAAAAAAGCAATCACAGTGCAAATGTGGTGGACTTCCCTCAAGCCCCCGCATCTCCTGGGCTCAAGAATTCTCAGTTCCAATTGGTGGAGCCCATCCACCAATTGGGGGACAGCGGGGAGAAGCTGGTGCCACCCCTTTCCCTAAGGGAGGGGGTGAGGAGCTCCTGGACCGAGCTTGGACCTGCAAGCTGCAGGTCTGCTGGACTTCAGGGGATGGAGCCCCCTGAGGGAATAAAAGGAGTGGCATGAGCCACAAGAGGGGATGCGGGAAGAGCCTGAAGAGGACCTCCACCAGGATCCCTTCTTCACCCCAACAGTGCGCAGATTGGTGCACGGAGCTCAGGCTCTGGGAGCTGCGTCAAGGCAGATAGCCTGCATCCGCACCAGGGGGCCAGATGGAGCGGTGTGCAGACTAGCACGTGGAGAGCCGGCCCTAGGAGCAGCTTGAGGCTGCTCAGGTCAGCCCCAGCGTAGGCTGGTTCCTTCAAAGAGTTTTATGTTGATGTCTGCTTAATGCTAGCAAAAATATTTTCCCCACTGTTTTTATATAGCTCAAGCCTAGATCAATAAAATGATTTTCAGGCTTGGCCAAAAATATTCACATGTTGGCAGACAATGCACATGAAAAATGCCAGCTCAGAAGAAATTATTGTGGGCCATGGTATCAACCCTTGTAAATGAGGGGTCAAATTTGTCACAGCTGTATGCAGGGTCAGCTCTGTTGACTTATTGACCAAAGAGCATTGCACAGTTGCAGTCCTGGCAGAGCTTAGTCCTGACTGCATATAAGCTTTAAACAGCCCACAGGACATTTAGAGGAATTAATCTTGCTGCCTCAGCAGATTCCAGGTTTCATTCTGACTACCTGAGGCTCCCTTGCATGGAAGAGGGGGAACTTTTAAGGTTTTTTAATTTCTTGGAGTCAGCTAAATGTTAGGAGCACAGTGCAGCATTTAACAAGTATTTCCTCCACCCCAGTTGAAGTTGAACTTCAGTTGTAGCTGAACTGGTCTCTGTAGTACTCAGAGGGATGTTTGTAGTAATTGGGCAATGATGGGGTTAAATTCTTAGTCGTTATACTAGGATGGAGATTGAGCTAGAACTCCACCCTCTGTTGTTCCAGAGTGACTTTCCCTTTCCCAGTTAGGTGGTCTTGGTTCCTGAATAAAGCAGCCTGTTGTTTTGGGGCTGGAGCCAAGTAAGTCTCCAAATTCTTTGTTAAGTAACAGTGTTCATAGTGAGGTAGAAACCAGCCTGGCCCCTGCTTGGCTCTTCAAATACTTTCCCATTTTGCTGTCTTCTCTAAGCTCAAGGAATTTGCTGTTTACAGTCGCTGCCTGTGTTTTTCTCCTCCATGTCCCTCCAAAGCCTTCTCCAATCTCACTTCCTACCCTTGCATTCCTCTGAAACTGCTATTGTCAAAATTGCTAATGACTTCTGAGCCACTGTCCTCCTTCTGACTTCTGTCCTCCTTGATCTGTCAGCTATATTTGACTCCATGGACCATGCTCCTCTCTTGGAATCCTCAATTCCTTTGGCTCCCTGACACCATCCTTTCATGGTTCTCCTCTTAGCTCTCTAATCATTTCTTCAGCGTGTCCTCCACTCCTCTTCCAATGTCCCCCTTCCCCTTCTGCATCCTATAGGAATTTCCACAGGGCTCTGTAACTGGCCTCCTTAGCTTCTCCCTTGTTCACCTCTCAGCTCTATGCTGGTGACTCAAAACAAACTCTGCACTCCTTCAGCCCAATGTAAAATCTTATACTGTGTCTCTGACAGCTCCTTGTGGATGTGTAACTGTCAGCACAAGCTCAATAGGACTTAAAGATTTCAGTCTTCTACCCCAAGTCATCCACTGTCTCCTTTCCCAGTCAGTGTGGACAACATCACCATTCTCATAACAAAAGAAACCGCTCCACACAGCCTTCTTTGATCTCACAAAAGTCTTTGATTCTGTCAACTGAGAAGAGGATCCTTCTGAAGTATGGATGCCCACTGAAATTTGTCACCATTCTTTGCCTGCTCCATAATGGTATGCAAGTGGTGGTTCTCAAATCTATCACAGATCCTTGAGGTTAAGACAGGGGTTATGCAAGGCTGCATCATCGCTCTAACACTTAATATTCCTTACCACAATGCTACATCTGGACCATGCACAAGCTTCCAGCCAGAGTGGAGCTAAACTACCAAATGGATGGTAAACTGTTTAATCTCAGCTGACTCCAAGTCAAAACCAAGAGCATCCCGACCTCAATCATAAAATTCCATTACATTGATGATGCTGTAGCGTGTACGCACTCGGAAGCAGACCTTCAGGCAATTATTGATGTCTTACTGAGGCATACAAGAAAATGGGACTGAGTTTAACATTTCAGGAGACTAAAGTCTTCAATCAACAAGCTCTTAATGAGCAGTCCCCAGCTCCAGCAATTCAGATTTATGGTGCACCTCTGAAGAACATTAAGTATTTTCCATACCTTGGAAGACACCTCTTGAAGAAGGCTGACATGAGTAAAGAAATCCAATATTATCTCAAAATATGCAAGTACAGCTTTCAGATGCCTGAGAAAACAGGTGTTCAAAGATCACAACATTGATATGAAACCAAACTCAGGGTTTATTAAGCAGTCATGATCTCCATCTTAGTATACGGAGCTGAGACGTGGACATTGTACAAAAGACATCTCAAGTCACTGGAGAAGTACCATAAACATTGCCTGTGGATCCTTTGAATCTAGTGGTAAGATAGACACACCAACATTAGCTTCCTCTTGCAAGCAAACACCATGAGCATTAAGGCGATGATGATCATCCAACATCAGGTTTGCTGGGGTGGCCATGTCATCCAGATGCCTAACTCCAGGTTCCTGAAGCAAGTTTTATTCTCCCAGCTAAGTGAAGGTGTATGGTCAAGAGAAGGGCAGAGAAAGTGCTTCAAGTACATCCTCAAGTCCAACTTGAAAAAAATGCGACATCAACTCATGGGAGAATACAGGTTTCCCTCGCTTTATGCAGGTTCTGTATGTGCAAATTTGCTTTTATGCAGTGACCCTTTTTATACCAAAAATTCATTATACGCGAGGTAAATTCACTGTTATGCAATCGGTGTGGTAGAAGCCCACAGTCAGCTGCTCTGTGTGGTGGACTGCAGGAGTGATGCTCACCAAAATATAGTCTCCTGTGTGGATCTGTGCTCTTTGCTCATCTGTGACATGTGTTTCTATAGTTGCCATCCCCATTATGATAGTGCCCTACTTGTGTGTACTATATGCTGTTGGCGAGTACCAAAATTGTCTTGCAGAAGTGGTAGAAATGGATCTGGGGGTCAGTACAGTTGAAGTCTTGGAATGTATTCCTATTTGTTACATTGTAAAGCGGGTTCCCTTTATGCGATTTCGAGTTATACGCCGTTTTCCAGGAACACATGTACAGCATAAAGCGAGGGAAACCTGTATTGGCCAAGACTGCCCCAAATGGAGGAAGAGTCCGCTGCCAGGATCTCAGGACTTTGAAACCTTATGATGACAACAGGAGACGAAAAAGCAGGAACAGCAGAAACAGCATGTTGCCAACCAAATCAAGAACCTAGAGCCACTCACCCCACATGGACACATGTGCCTGAGTTGTAACAAAGTCTGTCAATCCCAGAAGGCCTCATCAGCCATCTTCAGACCCAGAGATAAGATAATCGTGGAAAATAATAATCCTCGACTGCAAGGGATTGCCAGTGATGATGGACAATATCACCATTTGATGACTCTGAAACTCACGCTAAGCTTGGGCCTACTCACAAAAGTTAAAATACAGAATACTGATGTTAACTGCATAATGCAAGAGGATGCGAGTTCATGGCTAGGCCATCTGAGAAGGAATAATGAAGTATCTCTTCCCGCTTACCTTGCTATATTCAGGATGATTTC